CACTGGGCAATGGATTAAGAGACCTGAATTCTAAATTTTGGCTTGCCACCAATTAGTGTATTTTTGTGACAATGGATTTGACATCACCTTTGTCTCTGTATATGCAGTTCTTCTGATCTAATTGTTATTGAGCATTTTTTCTTTGCAAGAGATGCCTGGAGATATTATATCCAGTTTATATTGACTAAATGCTTTCTATTTGTTGATTTAGGCTTTTTCTGCAGTGTTTTGGTCTGTAGTAACTGGGCAGATAAGTGAGGGAAATTACATTGCGGCTGGAAAATTTTCCTCTGAAGAGGCTTTAATTTGTATGGAAAATGTAAATAGTCCTGGCAAAAGGCTTTATCTGTGATTTAATTTAAAAGCCATGGAATCAGTACTATACTTTGTAATATTATATCATTAATTCACAATTACTACTAATTTACTAAGTGAAGGAAGTAGAAGCCTCTAAATCCTAGCAGTGCCTAAGTGATATAATAATGCTTGTGGTTTACTAGTTGATTCCAAATTATTCTTTTTTAGCAAAGTAGAAATTAAACTGGCTTCCTTGTTTGAAATATATCCAAGAGAGACTATTTTCATATTTGTAACCAAAGTAAAATAGACACTTTAGCATTTTGATGGTGCCTTTAGTGAATTAGTAATCATTTAGGTTTAAGAGCTGCTGCTTCCTTTAATATACTGTGTTAGTTAGAGGAATATTGATTTCAATATACTTCCCAATGTTGACTTACAGAACAGTGAGAGCAAGTATAGTTTTCAGTTCTGTTGAGATAGGGTCATTCTTGGAAACTAACAGCATCATAAGAAATGCCTCAGATAGTGTTAAAATTTTTTAAAAGAGCTGAACAAAAGCAAACTGAGTACAGAAGAACCCCATTTTATCTTGTCCTCGTTTCTTATATGTCCTATGGTGACAGCTTTGCTGCAGAATTATAACTGTAAAAATGTTACATAACATTGTTAGCTTACAAGGGCCCATGTTTGGGCCACCTTGTAGCACTAAATGCAAAAAAGTAGTTCATTTATTCAATGTGAAGTAATGTCTCTTGAGATTATGAGGATAAATGAGAAGTATGTTTGAATTAGTTTTGAGCATATAGCATGTATTTTAGCCTCATAGTGTCTCTGAGATGGAAGGATGGGTGAGCAGGAAGAGGTTATGGAGGGAGGTAATTTTTATCTCAATTTTAAATGACCAAATTGAAGCAAAATCACACAATTGAATTCATAACAGAGCTTGAATTAGAAAAAAAATTGTATCTTAAACCTCTGCAGTTCTTCAACTAGAACACGTTGTCCAAAGTAATTTTGACAAATTTGCCTCCTATTCTAAAGCTTAAATAACATGATCATCGAAAGAAGCAAGAATGCATGTGCCTATTGATGAGTCTGACTTTAAGAAAGGCCTGTATACAAAAATCCTATGTTATAAATATAATATGTAGAGTTTACAAAGTAATTTTACCTTGCCCTTCACAATTATTCTTTGCAATATAGGCCTCCATTGAATAATGGAAAAAGTACATTTACTTAGCATTTCATAAACACAATAAATTATATCTTAAAGATTTATTTTAAGTGCAGTTTTATTCATAGCCCTTTCCAGTCCAGCTGAAAGTGACTTTTTTTCCTCTTCCATTCCTCAATTCCTTGTTTACCATGGTCTTAAAACATTTAAACTGTCTATTGTAGTTATTTATGTATATAATTTCTTATTCTATTGGATTGTCACCTCCCGTTTCCTTGTATAAGTTAAGTGCTTAATAAATATTTATTAAATGAACAAACGTTCACCTATACCTGATCAGTGAGTGATACTCAAGGCAGAAGGACGGAGAAGTAGGACGCTCTCCCAGGGGACTTACGGGGTAGCATTTTCCATGTGTATTTCCCCATCTCCCACTCATGAATAAGAAGTGCTTCCTAGTGAGCCTAAATCTGCTTGGACTGTATCATATTTCAAGTGTGTGTGTGTGTGTGTGTGTGTGTGTGTGTCTGAGAGAGAGAGAGAGATGAGTGGAGGGAGTACCATAAAACGGGAGGGAGGGGAAAGAGAAAAAGCAATATAACATAGAACAAAACTAACTGCCTGCATTTTGGCGTTACTGGTAGAGAAATATACAAGAGAGTGATTAGACACACAAGAAGCAAATGAAAAACAGATTTTATCATTAGAAATAGCTACCCTGTTAAAGTGATAACATGATTAAAGTAAAGCTTCTTTTAGTAATGAGGCCCTTCTCTATATTATTGCTTATGGATGAGATAAACCTTCAAGCTTTTTGCAGACATCAACAGAAAAGTATAAAACCAGGATCAGTGGTAATTGACAAAGTCTATTTGGTAAGAAATTTGGAGATTATATATATGCATGTATGTATGTATAACAATGTCTCTGTTTCCCTTTTATAGACTCCCATAAATCTCTTACTTGTTGCTGCTTCGTAAGTGGTGGATAACAAAAACTTAGGTCAGATAAGGGGTTTTCTGTAAGGTTCCTTTCCATCAGAGTAAATCCCTATCCATCTGAGTTGTTGCTTTGTTTACCTTTCATATATCTGCTTGTTTTTTCTAGATCTTTGTTCTGATGAGCCTAATCTTGTGTTAGAAACACATATCCTTTTTCTGTTTCTCGCTGTCTCTCTCCTATTTCTGAATCTTTTATGAGCAAGATTCTTTGAATTTTGCAGACTTTTAAATATTATTTCAGTAAGAAATCGGGCGGTGGCGCTGAGCTTTTTCAGTGTTTTGTTTAACTGTTATCATTCCAAACAGCCATTCATTTTCTCTTATCACTTCCTGTCTTAGACTCTTCCATTGGTTACCTTGTATATGTAGACCTTTCTCATTCCAGAACCATACATAATAGGTTTTTTTCCCTTTCTCTGTGTTATCAATACATAACAGAAAGATTTAATATATTCTCTCTTCAGCTTACTTTGAGACACATTAAGACTCTTGAATTACGCTTCATTTCATAAATTACCCTCTTCTTTCTCTTAGGCCTCAATCCTTGTGCTCGAAACACTGGGTTCTAATTAAACTCTTAAGAAACACAGTAGATGTATTTTTTTTTTTCATGCAGATGTGTCTTCTTTTAAGTAAAAAATCTACAGTTTGAAAACTAAAGGTCATCTGTTTCAATTATTATGTTCTTTTACTCTTTTTTCCTTTAAAAAATGTGAAGACTAATATAAGATATAATAATATGGGAAACTGGTTGTGAGGTATGTGGGATCTCTGTACTAACTCTAATAATTCTGTACATCTAAAAGCAGCTGTAAAAGGAAATGTTTATTGAAAAATATATGAAGGACATTTTCATTCATATGAATTTTAGAGATATTCAAAGTGCTGTATTTCTTACAGTTCATGAAAAATCTGACAAATGTCGATATTCTTTGCTCCCTTAACTATTGAATTAATAATAAAGCTTTGAATATTCTTTATTCCCAGATCCTTGTATAATATTAGAAGAAAGTAAATGATAAATTGGTCTCCCAACATCACACCCACTCTGCTCTTCTTAACTCTTTTGTGGCTGTAGCACCTGGAGTGGGGATCTTTATTGCCTTAGGAGCCTGCCATGAGTTCAAAGTCTCAAGTGAAGAGAATTCAGCAACTCTAGTACTTGATTGAGGAAACGATATTGACCACGTCTTGCTGAATTATATCTGGGCTCTCTTGGGTTCATAAGGGCTCTAACTCTTCAGAAGGCTCTTGATGGTATAGGTTCTGCTTTGATCTGAAAGGACCAGCCTGCAGTGGCACACCTGAGTATGAAAGATACTTCTGAAAGTAACGGTGTGTGGCATTTTCCTTTTTCAGCGTTTCTTTCAGAATCATTTTATAGCCTTACCATCCTAGCTTTTGTTTCTAGGGCTCTACTTTACGGAGCAGATGATATCCCTAGAAAATAGTTGTAGATTTGTGGTTTGGCAGCTGCTTTATTAAAGGCTCATATAAACTGAGAACTGTTTACCTTGCTTCTTGCTATGTGGAAGAAAAGATTCTGTTCCTGAAGGTACCCATCCTTTCTCTTCCCTTGCAGACAGAACAGCTTGAAAAATTTCTCAGGCTAAGGAGTCCTTGTCAAAACAAATTTTTATTTGAAGAACTAAGATGCCTAGGGATATTTAGCAACAGTCCATACAAATTACAGTGGAATCGAAACTTTAGAATGGGGAAAAAAGAATTTTTCACGTTTGCTTAACCCCATTGCACCCACTGTTAGATAATATTAAATGTTTTAACCACTTGCTATTCATCTTATAGCAAAACATGTAAATAGAAAAATGGATCTCCTGATTAAAAATTGGCATAGCATATTCTCAATACATCCAATATAAAACATGCTCTACATTTTATTTTAAAAATTACTGGTATCATCAATATTGGTTTTGTGAAAAAAGTCCCATGACCGATATTTTTTTAATTGTTGAACTCAGATATCCTTTTACTCAGTGGCTTTACTTCCATAATGAAGAAGTACATTTTGTTGGTGACATCTCGAATTCTGGAATAGTTGGAATTATTAGTTAAATTATAGTTTTTCTTTTAAGACGATTTGTTTCATCATTGAAGGTAATAATCTCAGAATGCTGAACTGCACCTGGAATAAGCGAACTATTTTGCTTCTTTCATAAAGATTTCAGTGTGTGCAACTTTGAGTTCAGAGAAGATCATACTTGCATGTTCTGAGTGATAGAGAAGTGAAAGAATATTTTTTAAAACGTAACTGCTTAATTTCATGTTTGTTTAGTGATGTTTCCAAAGTAACTGGTGTTTTTCACTGCCATCTCCGTAAGTATGCACATAAAATTTTCAGTGGATTCTTTGAAATATAACTTAAAGCTGAATTCCTTGCTTAATTAATAAGATATACTGGATTCGTCCTGGCTTATTATATGATTTTTGACATTTGTCACCTATAAAGAGAAGTTAACCTCTCAGTACAGCTAATCTTCACCTTTTTTTCTGTTCCTTACTGACAGAATCCCAAGGACTGCAGCAAAGCCAAGAAACTAGTGTGTAATATCAACAAAGGCTGTGGCTATGGCTGTCAGCTCCATCATGTGGTCTACTGCTTCATGATTGCATATGGCACCCAGCGAACACTCATCTTGGAATCTCACAATTGGCGCTATGCTACTGGTGGATGGGAAACTGTGTTTAGACCTGTAAGTGAGACCTGCACAGACAGATCTGGCATCTCCACTGGACACTGGTCAGGTAAGAAGCCTGTGTCGTTTGTCATCTCTCTGTGTTGAACCACTGCATAACCAAGTTATCAGATTTCTGCGTACAACCTTATGGCTCATAGTGGTCTTTTTCTCTGCATCCGTGAATGCTATACATTATCCAGATAAAATCTGGAATAATAATTTTTATTCACAAAATGTTTCATGATCAATTTCTTCCTTTTTTTTTCTTTTTTTTTTTTTTTTTTTTTTTTTTTTAATTGCTGTGCCACACAGCATGTGGGGACTTTAGTTCCCCGACCAGGGATCAAACCCATGCCCCCTGCAGTGAAAGTGCAGGGTCCTAACCATTGGACCACCAGGGAATTCCCTCATGATAATTTCACTTCTGATGTTCATTTTTATCCGGATCTAGCAAAATCACTTAAGTTTTTTCAAGGAACATAATTTACTCTTTTAATGATTATGATGATGATATACTTCCACTTTTTTGGGTGCTTTCACATTATTTTACTCATTTGATCCTCCAAATTATCCTTTAAGGTAGACTGGTGGTTCTCAAACTTCAGCACGTGTGAGAATCACCTTGAATCAGAAAATACTATTTTCTGATTCAATAGGCCTGGGGTGGGGTCTGATACTTGCGTTTCTGACAAAGTTTCCAGGTCCAGGGACCACACTATGAGAACTACTTAGGCAGACAGTGCATGTACCTTTATCTCCATTTTACAGTTGAGGACAATGAAGTCTAATTTGTTCATGTGATTTTAATTTTATTCAGGAAACATTTAATGAGGAATAATGTGATTAAGGTACCATGCTAGGCCTGAGAAGAGATACAAAGATTAGCAAGAAATTTCTCTTCTCTCCAAGGACTTGGTGAAACAGCAAATAGAGTATAGATAGAGTTTCTTACTGCTAGTCTCTTCTTTCTACAACGACGATCTTTAAACAAGGTCCCAAGTTGGGCTACCTTTGTTAAAATCTTTGCTGTATCATTTTGTAATCTTGGGCAAGTTACTTAACCTAGGCCTTCATTTCCTCATCAGTAAAATGAAAAGTAATAATTTACTTACCTCGTTGAGTTGTTGGTAGGATTAAATGAACTAATATGTATAGTGCACTTAGCACAGTACCTGATATATGAACTCTAGTAATTGTTAGCTATCTTTAATAGCCCTTATTCATTGAGTGCCGACGGTGTGGCAGATACTGAACTAAGTGACCAGGTGAAATGCTAAGTAAGTCAGTACACTATCTCTGCGCTCACTTCTTGTGAAAAGTCCAGTATTTCTCAAAATGCTGAGGCATTTCAGTTAATGTAATTTCTTATGGAGCCAAGCACCTTTTTTCACAAGTTAAAACCCTAGATGTGCAATAGAGAGCTATGTCATTGGCAAAGTAAGTAACTTTAGTTCCTTTGTTTCTTTTTGCCTTCTTTGGAAAATACAGGTAATACTTGACTTCACAGAAGTGTCAAGAAAGTCAATTGGGTAATTTCTATAAAATGCTTTAAGTTGCTCTATAAAATGTGCTATATGGATTTAAAGTACTATCTTGTGATAATGAGTTTTGTTTTCCGTAGGATTATTTAGGAACCTTATTCGGTATATCAACATATTTTTTTCTTTGTAGCTCACTTCAAGTTTTAAAGTGAACCTCTTCATCTAGAACCTACCTGAGTTTTAGTTTTGAGGTTACCTCTTCCATTGACTGGTCTGTAGTTTATAGCTGGTACTGATTAGGTGTCAAGGTTAGGAAGATACAGGAAAAGCAACTCTGTCAGTCTCACTGTGGCTAACTTTTTCATTTTGTGGATTTAGTTCAGTTTCAAGTTTCTTTGATTGTGGAAGCATATAGCCGGCGTAGGACAAAGTTCTTATGTTTCACTGTTTCTAGGGAGAGGCAGCTTTCTGAGTAGCAGTCAGTTAATAAAAAAGTAAAAGGTTAGCCTCACTAGACTTGTCAAATTCAGTGTGTAGGTTCGCCATGCCTATATGTTACAACTCGTTACTTGGTTTGTTTGATTGTAAGCCTTCCTCATACATCTTGTCGTCTGTAGTGGCAACTACAGAACATGAAGATTAACAATGGCTTGAATTTGAAACATTCAGAATTTCTTGACATTACAATTAAACAGGTTCTAGAAATTATCCTTCCTTTATTTATATGGAATCTTGAGGCCTGGTAGATACTAAGTGGCTTTTCCAGGATCACACAGCTTACAAATGACAGAATTCTGGTTAGTACATTCACTCTACCTACATCCGGTCTAAGTCTTTCCTAGTAAGCTCATGTCAAACACCTTACTTAGCAGAATAACGATTAGAAACTGTCCTGAATGTTTGGGAACTAAATAAGATAACGAATTTAATATCTCTGTCCTCTTTCCTCCCCCTGTTCTGTAGCTTTTTCCAAATCTTTCATATAATTTTAGGTACTGAAGAGTTACCAATGGTATTTTCTTCTTAGTCATTTGCCGTCCCTGATCAAAGAAATCATTTTATCGTGGTAGCATAGAATTATAATTTTAATTAAATAGATACTTCCTTTATAACTGCAGGTATTATATAAAATCATATATTTTTCTCCATGCTAATGAATTAAACTGTGCCTATTGGACACCTTTAATTAATTAAACTAGCAGTTATTTTCAGTATTCTTGCAGAACTCATTATAACTAAAATAATTTAGATGCTAATCTTATATCTAAAAGAAGGAAGAATTTTATGTTTGAACTTAGAATACTTTCATTTTTATGAGAAGTATGGTTGTCATCCACTTCTGTATCTGTTTATATATATTATCTATATATGTACCTTTTGGAGAAACTAACCTATTTCTAGAATCAGAGGAATCAGAATGAAATTTAGTAACATTAATCCTTCAGTTAGCCATAAATCAACTAAATCTGTTATTGTTCTGACTTGTACAAAGAACCTTGGGATATTTCCCTTGGCACCACTGCCATGAGATTATTATTGTTCATACACACTTGACATGATGTGCTTGCAGGTGGAATTTAGTGATTTCTGTTCAAATCTGTCACCAGTACAGGAATTAGTATGCACATTTGATCATTTGAATAGCCAAATCATGCCTTGGTGTAAGTTGAGTTCCTTTTTTCTCCTTCATTTTTTTATATTGGTGTATGAAACCGTATCCTTTGTAGTATAATTTGGTTTAGTGAAGCAAAATATTAAAAATTATGCTTCCAGTTAATAATAACGTTTCCCTGTCACCTATAGATGTCCTGTCTGTTCTAAAGTTGTTGACAAAATGGTCAGTTATTCTTCTGTATTGCAAAATGTTTCCTAAACCTGAACTAACTACATGTTCATAGACCCGATTCTTCCAACTAGATTCCTTATGATAATTCAGAATGGGAATATTGGTATTTAATAGTTTGAAGTACCTTTCAACAAAAATTGATTTGTTTTTAAAAGTATTTTGACTGTTTTAGGCTATATATGGCAACCAGTTTCCAAGATGCTTTTCTAGCTGCTAGAGAAATACTCTTGAATAAATGATTTAGCAATAGGGAACCTCAGCTATTTAAACTCAGTTCTCCACTATTTTTTCCATTCTAAAAATTGCACATTTATTCAGATGAGCAGTTAAACCATTTGGGTGTTTTGCATTTCCTTCTCTTGTATTTGATTGTCATAAATTGAACTAAATTACTTAATTTGATAAATCTAATTGAAAAACTTTCTTTTAAATGAAAATAGTGACTAGTAAGAAACTGTAAATATGATAAAATTTAATGCCCTAGAGGTGTCTGATTTAAGTGCATGTTTAAGTAGATTGCCACTTGCTGTATTTAATTACCTAAATTGGATGGTTACCTTCTCTCCATACCTCATTTGAAAAAAAGGTTTTGGTCAAAGAGTTTTAGTTGGCATCCTTATATGGAGGCAACCTTAAACTAGAAGTAATTTAATAAAAGCACTTGCTATGTGCTAGGCACCATGCTGGACTACATACTGTCAGGGGCAGCCTAGGGGGAAAGGTAGACAACTTGAATGAACAATTAAAATTTATTGTGATATGGGTAAGTCCATAGTACTCTGAAGCACATATCTAACATGTATTTGGGATTCTTCTGGAGGAAGTGACTTTTAAGCTAAGACCCAAAGTATGAGTGGGAGTGAGCCAGGTAGAGATATGATAGAAGAATTTTCTGTCATTGGGCACAACATGTGAAAAGAGGCAAGAGAACATCAAGTCATTGGGGAAACTAGAAATAGTTCATTGTAAAGTTTGAATACTGAGAGACTTATGTTTCGTTTTGAAAACACGTGTTACTTATAGGGTTTCTGTTTGGACAATTGTATGATTGTGTTCCTCCCTAAAACCCAGGTTTTAATTCAGGTGTCAGAGCTCTTTGTTTTGTTTTTGCTTCGGAGACTGGGCAAAGTTAGATGCCAGATTGCTTTCAGCTGGCTCTTGGTGTCATCTAGGAGCCATTTAACTCTTTAATTAAAATTTTCATTTTTAATATTTTTTAGCGTTCAGTCAGTAAAGTTTTGAAAGCTGACAAATACCACAAACTCATATACTCCAGAAAAAAACATTATATTTTTATTAACTGCCTAAAGCACTTCTGTAATGCTGTTTTTCCTGCATTTTATTTAAAATTTGGGTCATCTCCATATGATGACAATTTTGCATTACCATTTTTTATAGAGAGAATAGGAAGGTAACTTAGTCTTCTACGTTGGTAGAGCAATTTTTTTCCAATTTTATTGAGATATAATTGACATAAACACTGTATTAGTTTAAGGTATACAACATAATGATTTGGTATGTATATACTGCAAAAAGATTACTGTCATAAGTTTAGTTAACATCCATCACCTCACATGGTTACAAACTTTTTTTCTTGTAATGAGAACCTTTAAGATTTACTCTCTTAATCACCTTCAAATATACAATACAGTATCGTTAACTATAGGCACCATGCTATATGTTACATCCTCAGAGCTTATATGTCCTTTTATTGGAAGCCTGTACCTTTTGACCACCGTC